TAGCGCTTGTTATATGAAGCTTATGAAATTACCTCGAAGATAATCTACTACAGGAGCTTACAAAGCTTTACTAGTTGGCATAAGTTTCACTGTTCAAAAAATAGCTTCTACAACAAATTAAAACAAGCAATTATTGATTGTTTGATAACTTTACTTTTTTTTGAATTTTGATTAATCATTAACTAACCGACAAAGGAACTGATTATGATTTAAAGAGTTTTGGAGAGACAAATGATCATTTAAATTACTTCATTCGTTTCAATAGTTTACATATGGAACTCAAAACAACTTTCAACCAATATCAAAGTGAGAATCTTCAATACGAACATCAAGGCAGTTCTACTGTACGGAGCTGAAACTTGGAGAACTACAACAACTACTATTAAGAAGGTACTGTGGTGTGAGCTACTTATATTGACATAAGTAGTATATAACGTGCGTTAAAAGAACGTAATGCTCGGCAGCAAAAGATGGCGAAGACCAAGAAAGGTGGAGCAAGAACATAATGGAATTTGTAAGAAAACTTATGAACAATGGAATGGGAGACAATGGATTAGTGTTTGCAGCTTGAACAGTACAGTTTGATATGATGTATTGATAATTTGCAAATTGACGATTGACTTTATGGTATTCAGATTTTGTTGAGATAGTCTGTAATTTTCGAGCTAAATACATTCGATTGTCCCCACCCGTGTTCTTGTTCACTACATTTGGTGTCGCTGCCAACCGGGAGAGGAGGAGGGTGCTGTTCTGCGGAAGCCGTTGCGGGCCTGGGGCTGAGGTGCCAGTTGGGGCAGTCTGGTGCGGAGAGGCGGCGTCTGGTGGAGTGTTCTAGCGGGGCGGCGTTGGCTGTAGCAGGTGCTGTTGACGGAGAGGAGCGGTGGGACGTGCGGCTGCTGGGCGGACATCGGATGTAGATGGCTCAGCAGGCCGGTGGAGTACGGGTGTCAAGCGTCCCAGGTGCCGGGTGGATGTAGGTTGTTGTTGCCCCGGCAGGTCGACAGAGCTATGGAAGTCAGCGCGCCGCAGACTCGACATTTTGACGGAGGGCGTGGCACAGACTGCAGAGACGGAGAATGTTGCACGGCGAGCACGAACCACCACAAGAACGACTGCTTTAAAGGGGGGGACGAGTGTGGTGTGAGCTACTTATATTGACATAAGTAGTATATAACGTGCGTTAAAAGAACGTAATGCTCGGCAGCAAAAGATGGCGAAGACCAAGAAAGGTGGAGCAAGAACATAATGGAATTTGTAAGAAAACTTATGAACAATGGAATGGGAGACAATGGATTAGTGTTTGCAGCTTGAACAGTACAGTTTGATATGATGTATTGATAATTTGCAAATTGACGATTGACTTTATGGTATTCAGATTTTGTTGAGATAGTCTGTAATTTTCGAGCTAAATACATTCGATTGTCCCCACCCGTGTTCTTGTTCACTACAGTACAAGTATTTATAAATGATTGTCTACGCAAGATACTCAACATCCCTTGGCCGGATACCATCAGCAACAGACTCCTCTGGGAGAGAACAAACCAGCTTCCAACTGAAAAAGAAATTAGGAAAAGACGATAGAAGTGGATAGGACATATATTATACAAATCATCAAACTGCATCACGAGGCAAACCATAACTTGGAATCCTGAAGGGAAGACCAAAGAATACATTACGTCGGGAAACAGAATCAGATATGAAAAAGATGAATAACAACTGGAAGTAGATGGGAAGGATTTCCCATGACAGGGTTGGATGGAGAGTGCTAGTGAGCGGCCTGTGCTCCTTCACGAGGAGTAACAGGCGTAAGTAAGTAAGTATTTCAATAATTTTATCAAATCAACTGAGTTACTATAAATAGTAGTTTTATTTAGTGAATATATGACGTAAGTTCATTAATACAATAATTGCCATCGGTAGTAATAATAATATTTACTTCTAACTTCATATCCTTTTAATATTTGAAGAAATATGAAATTATAATGTTATTGCCTTAATATTAACTTTGATATAAATCAACAAAATGATAATTTATTATTTCTATTGTTCTAACTGAATGTATATTTCAACTTGAGTATTAAAAAAATTACGCGGTTTATTCAAAATTTTAACATCATGAATGATTTGTTGCTAATTAGGTTTTTTTTTAAAAACAAATTCAAATTGATTTTTACAAAATGACTTTAGATATCGATTTTCCTTTTCATATTTAATTATGCATAATGAAAAATTAAAAAAAAAATATTCACAAATCAATTATTTTATAGACTAATTGTAGTGTGTTCTACTGATGTCGACATATATAAATAGTATGTATGATCAATCAAAAGTGAAACGCCTGATGGTAGAAGGTTAAGAAGATTGAAGAAAACAGAACTAGAACATAGAATGATTGGTATAGAAACGAAGGAACAATGAAGTCTGAGACGATTGATTGATAGTTTGTAAATAAAGTATTTAGTGGATGGTTATCAGATTTTACTTAGACGTTCTGTAATTTTGTATTGAAATACAGTCATCACTTGTGTTCTCGTTCACTACATTGTGAATCCTAATTAATGCGTTGTTAAGATACTAAATATTCATTTAGTTGGTTTATTAGTAATGAATAACATTTTGATAGAGATTGATGGAGACTATAACAGGATAATCTGAAAATAGTTGTGTCACAGAAATACATCTTAAATTAAATTAAATCTAGATTCACTCTTGAACCAAAATTCAGACACCACAAAAGTGAGTGATTAGTTTAAAAAACACTCATGTACACAGTAACTAGTCAGTATCCAAAACCAGTAAATCTAGAATAAGTTAAGATGAAGAAGTTATAGAATATTATTTATCTATTGGGCTCAATCAAGTAAAAACTCACTGGAAAAAGTCATTTTTTGATAACTCACCGAGGAATTACAATCTTTACATCAGAGTGACATAATTAAGCTATAAAGTTAAAGATAGCGACGTGATATTTCCAGACAGAATTATATCAAATGTAACAGTATTCTATACAACAAATGTCGACTATGTATCCATTTCCATTCTAAACTTCAGATTAACGGTTAAAGAACGTGAAATAACCTTTGATTTTTTATCTGTTGACAGATGGTGGCAAATACGTATATATTGAATAGCATAAAACGCAGATGAAATAAATAACATTCATGTGGGAATCCTTCCTATATAGGGTTAATTGTTCCAATAATCAGCAGGGATTTAATCAATAAAATTAGATGATGGAAAATCTCTGTCATATAGTGTCCACCACAAATTTGAATGATCGGAATTTCATCTCATGTGGTTTGGGTTTCGAATCAGTTCAGGCAACCCGAAGTTCAATGATACAACGGTGGTGTGAGCTACTTCTAATGACGTAAGTAGTATATAACGTGCGTTAAAGGAACGTAATTTCTAGCAGCAGAAGATGGCGAAGATCAAAAAAGGTAGAGCGAGAACACATTGAAATTTGTAAGAAAATGCATGAACAATGGAATGGGAGACAATGGATTGGTGTTTGCAACGGAAACAGTCCAGTTTGGTTTGATGCATGAATATTTTGCAAATTAACGATTGACTATATGATATTCAGATTTTTTCGAGACAGACTGTAATTGATGCGCCGAATACATCTGTTTGTCCCCACCCGTGTTCTTGTTCACTACACAACTATTTACAGTTAGTTGTTCTATGAAAGTTTTTCATTCCACTATCTGTGGTCAAATCCATTTCCTGATTGCTCATTCCTTACATATTATATAATTTATATATGCTTTCGAATATCGTAATGTATATTTATAAATCTTAAGGTTAAAAGATATACCCGTTTTATCACTATCCTTTCATAATAATTTCTTTATGCAGTGAAAATAAACTTTTTTATTGTTAATCAATGAATCATGAAGTTAAGAAATGATTTTGTCTGTGATGTTGCTATGTATTGTTAAAAGCCAAAAGTTTTTTTGTCTTCATAATAATGTTTTTACTAATAATTATTCAAAAAAGTACTAACAAATCAAAACAATACAGCCATTGTTGATCTCCAGATGAGAACATAACCTATTGTGAAAGATTCTGAGTATTTTAAGCTTGTTATAATGCGTTGTGAAATCACAAGTAGCATGTGTTTATTGCTGTTCAATAAATTACCTTATAGATGACTTTGAAATACTAACTATACTTTATTGTGGCTTAAAAATTGAGACTTTATCTCACCGAGATGCAATCTATGTTATTGAAAGCAATCACTTCGTGATGCTTTTATACAAATAATTTGTTTATTTTGTCATGTCACCTCTATCATTAACACTGAAACATGAGTGAAGACAACGGGAGTTTAATCAGGAGTATTATGTCTCTGATAACTGTATAATTCTGACTAAGATACTTAAAAGTTGAAGAAATCCACATGATCATCCACATTCCTTGTGCTATGGAATGAATTTTCTTTGAAAATCAACTGTATTCAATATAATGGGTTATTGTGGAAGAATAAATCATTCTGATTTCCTTACAAGCAAATGTTGGTGCGTCAGGTGTCGTAAACTTCGTCTGCCAACGTTTCTGTAGTGAAACATGGAGGGAGATTTGTTTCTGAAGTGATTAATGACTTTAATGAACTACGCCATTTTTATAATGTTGAGAATACAAATGCGCGACAAACGGACATTGAGTGCAAATGAACATACTATTCCCTTACTATGAATCTGTAATGACAATAGTTTTTGGTTGACAACAGAAAAAAAAGACGAATATAAAGAAAGCTTCTATACCCAAATATGTTGGTAATTAGAGATTATGAAATGACCGAACTAATATCCAAAAAATAGGCTTTCATAGTTTGTCATTTCTTCATTTCTATTCCTCTCTTCTCAACACCAAACATGTCAGAAACTAATTTTCCACTTATTTATACCCAGGTTCTACGCAATAAGTTTGTAACTACATAGTTAAAATGACCTACTAAATAGAGTTCATTCAGTTTATTCATAAAACATGTTGTCAATATCTCAGAGTATGTAACGTGATCACGCACATCACACGTGAATAAGTGATTGGCTATTTGATTTGATTTACTACTCAATGTTTTCAATTTCATTTTGCATAGCCAATAAAGATTGTGTTTACAGACATCCATCTTCATCAGCTGCTAATCAAAATATAAAGAATACACAGTGAACTATTATGGAACAAATTTGTAAAAAACAACATATTTTTATGTAGTTTAATCAAGCACATGAAATAGGAAAGTCTATTAAAGTGAATATATGAAAACTACCAGAACAATTTCAATAGCCAAATTCTAACAAACTCACGCAACAGTTTACTTGTGATCATGACTGACTCCAAGCATAAGTCACTGAAAATTAGGGTAATTGGTTTACTTGTAATCATAACAGTGACTTTATATCTTGCTGTTGAGTTAAATCTGTTTATCTCTGATCAGTATGTGTTTTATAGGTAAGTATAATCATTATTATGATTCTGAATGTTATTGTTCTTACAACACCTACATTGAGTGACGTAGATTTTCACATAGTTCATTAGCACGTATTAGAATGTACTTGATACGTCGTTCTATGATCAAGTCTAACAATCAAGCTTACTCAGTTGACGAGCGAGTGACCTACGACTTAACAGCATCTAACCGTCTATGACATTCTATCATGCTATTTTGTGGTAATATCTTGCATATAAGCATGTCATTTCATTGCATAAGAAACCTGTTCTTCTGGTTAATGATTTTTTCCTTGATTTCAAACCAGTTGGGAGGTTTAAGTCAATAACGTAATCTCATAACCAGTCATAAGTCAGCCACAACCCATATTATTGATGATTATTTACTAGTTATCACTTTCTTTTTCACTTTAACAGTCGAAAACTTGCTCATCAAATTAACAGAATCCATCACTACAGCAGTTCTTTAAGATTAGATGATTATTTAATGCTAGTTTATATGATTTGAAGTGGAATTAAAGTTGCCAGCACCGTTTTCTGAAAGAAATTATTCTACCAATAATATTTCATTACAAATAAACGACCATGACAATTTATCAGCTTTCACTCATTAGTTATTCACCAATTTAATATTTGTCTTCATTATAAAGATTATATTGTCTTTAGGATGTTTTATTACTTGGTCTTATCAAAATAAATCTCGACTGAAGTTATGTGTCTAGCCAGAAACAATTAAATTTTGGTGAAAACCGATGAGATTTTTAAGTCATATCTCATAAGTCGGTATACACACAAAACAATGTAACATGTTTGTTACGTCATCAAATCAACACGGTATTTCTCTAGGTATGTAGTGTTTCATAATTTACCAAGTTTACTGAAAAGCTTGGCATGAGATTAAATGGTATCATAATCCCGCGTTCCGCTCCGATATTTGTCAGCCGGTAATAAAACCCGATTGCGCATTAATTAAGAAAATTCACCTGGTAAATTTCAAAACTTACGGCCGTGAAACACCTATTTTCTTCACGTAATATTTGGTTAAATGCACTCCAGTTGGAAATATCATGAAATAACATGAATTTCACACATCATTCATGGAATTTGAATGAACTAGAATTTTCAACAATCATTAGGAGGAGTGGTATATTATATGACAACTTAATCTTCTTTTACATTTTTAGCGCTGTCACTGAACAAGGTCTTCCCTACTACACAAAGAAGGAAAGACAACGATATAAAAACATGTGAGTTGACATTTTGTTAGAAATTCACCATATTATCGACTAACGTTGACGCAATTCATAACTACTCATTGATTTGAGAAGTTCCAATTCACTAACCTAGCAAGTAATGAGATTTAGGCTTGAAATGATAAGAAATTTATTGAGGCTGGTTAACGATTGCATAATGTTGAGATATACTTTAGGTGTAACGAAGTTATTGAAAGATACAACAAATATCGTGAGCATGCACAGGAAGTTTGATGCTTTGAATCACCAATCTCTGAATTGTAACCAATTCAACACTGTCTGTTAGTTAATACAGAACAAATTACTGTGATAAACTTTATTGTTAGTGTGAATTCTTGAATACTGTAATGAAATTGATACTAAATGCTGTATTAGAGTGTCTCTAAGTCACTTATGTTAATTACTTGCAGAATTGTTAGGTTCCTCATGTATATTTATGTCGCAAGAGTCATAATAAAGCTAGATTCTGTGTCTTCTCTCAACTAATTTCAATACCGCCTTGCACAAATTTTATTGCACACTTATTACTGTTTCTATTTTCTATACATAAAGAATACCATTTAGTCAAAGTTCAGGAGCTGGGCCCAGATAGCTTATTCTAGCTTAGGAACAGGTTGATTTATTCATTCTTCTTGAATCACATTTTGACTTTGTTAATTATTCGCTCATCAAAGCGAATTTGTATGTATTTCTTATCTAACTCATCACTTGTCGGTAACTTATTTCGTCTGACTATTTATTATTTATTTATTTGAACACATAAATATTTGTACAAAGAGTCACTAAATATATATGCGCCACACAATCAGAAGAGAAAAAAGAAGGTAAGGATCCACACCACCATTACTTACATCCATCAGAGCTGTTTCCAGAATGTCATCGATGGCAAAGTTGAAGAGGAGTGGTGAGATTGGACAACCCAGCCTAACCCAACCACTCTGCCTGAGGTGTTTGTATATAGGGCTTTTAGGATGTTAATAAACTTTTCAGGCACACCCTTCTTCAATAGACAATCCTAGAGAACAGTCCTGTCTAGCGAATCGAAGGCAGCCCTAATGTTAAGAAACACTACGATTGTTGGCCTGTGATAAATATGACGGTGATCTAACATTTGGCGGAGGGTGAAGATATGGTCAATACATCCTCGACCAGAACGAAAACCAGCATGTTCCTCGCGAGTCAATCTTTCTCGGGTTTTGAACAACCTACGAAATATGACGGAAGCCAATAGCTTGGACGCAATCAGAAGTAGACTTATCCCCCGATAGTTGTTACAGGAACAACGTGAACTATTTTTAAAGATAGGGACGACTATCGAATCATTCCATGACGTTGGTACACTCTCGGGTTCCCAGACTTTTGTAAACAACGTCGTCAATTCCTTAGCCAGAGAGTCACCACCGTCTTTAAAAAGAGCCGGAGGTAAGTCATCTGGGCCAGGTGATTTGTAACGCTTCAAGAGTTGGAGTTCCTTGAGGACTTCCGCCTCATTTGATGGATCAGTCGTCACCGGTCATGGAGGGTAGGACAGTCTGGTCGCTATTGCCTGAGCAGCAGGCCAGTTGAACTGCCCTGCTCATAGTCCAAGGCATCTATGGATGTTAGTGATTGGTATCCCGTCATCCTCACAGATTGTTTCGCTCACACCAGACGTCTTGCTGCCAGTAGCTCGGATGAGTTGAAAGAGCCTCCGGTAGTTACCAGATGCAGCTGCTGCTTCCAGCTCATTAGCGCGCTCCGACCACCACGCTTCTAAGTCCTTAAGCAAGCTTTGCCCAATTTCCTTACATAACATCCTTCGTTTGTGGTCAAACTCACGGTCACCCGGAGTAGAGCAACGGGCATCAATGAGTTGTAAGGAACCAGAAGAAACCCAGTGCTTAAAAGCAGTACGTTTCGCAAACCCACAACTAACTGTACCCGCCATTTTCATGGCGTCATGTAATCTATACTTTTCGGTGGAATGGTAGCTAGCCTAGAAACTAGCTCGATTCGATGCTTTCTTGCAACAGACGTTTCAAACAGCTTGCTGACATCAATCCTTTGTTGGTGGTCACTTCGTTGGCCACTGAAACGTAAGATAAGACTGGCGCAAACCATGGCATGATCAGAGTTCAGATAGGTACTCCGAAATGAGCGGCAGTCTCGTACATAAACACGCCAGCGGTAGCTGATCGCGATGTGATCAATCTGAGTCCAGGCTTGAGATTCAGAGGGAGGACGCGTGCTGGCACATCTGCGATGACTTGGTCGGAAGTTAGTGCTCAACAGAAACAGGTTGTGATCTGTGCACCGTTGCAGTAGACGATCTCCGTTATCTGTCCCCATCGGCATCCGGGCTGCAATCTGTCGGGACATATGCGGAGATGACGAAAATACATCATTTCTCACGCCGATTTCTTCTCACTTTGATGGAACTTTCTAATCTAACAGCACATAACCGACTGTCAATGAGTATCCAACCAATTAATGCTGCCTCAGCTCTAGCGCTTAGTGCGACATCAACGCCGGCAAGACGAGACCAAGATACCACAAGGTCCCCTGATAAACTCACGCAAAACAAGCTTTTTAAAGCGACAAATGATAAGCGAATTTGTAGTGAATTCCGAAAAACTGCTTCAGTACTCGTATTTGGTGGTAGCATTCAATTTTCAACCAGTCAGTGACTCGAAAACATTTAGATAGAACCGAGTTTCCACCGTAAGCGAGCTGCTGTATAAGTCGAAAAATAAGGATACATAAAGTGGAAATAAAAGAGAGTGAATAAGTGACGTATGAAACAATAATAATAATAATAATAATAATAATAATAATAATAATAATAATAATAATAATAATAATAATAATGTGATTAGTTTGACTGTTAATGAAAGCAAGAATAGTATTTTCCGTAAGTATTGCCATTTGGTTATGTCTGTATGTGGGCTGTGATACTGCCTGGTTGCCCAGACCGAAGCAGGTGGTTTTCTTAGGGGGCCACACCCCGAGCATTTGACCTAAGGTTTGACCCACAAGGCAGGGGGGCATCGAGAGGAGATGCAGTCCCATGGTGGCCGGTGTTCAACAATCGGTTCATACGCCATTTGTTCCCACAGGATACAAAAGCCCATGTGCACCATTGGTTTGGAATCCGGTTAAAGCGCCGGACATTCGCTTTTTGTTCACTCATTTTCGTAAACAACACCCACGCCACGAGAAGGCAGTGAGCAGGACTTTCCTGGAAGAAGCTGTAAACGCGTGGCCGTGTGAGAGCAATTCGAGAAAGAGAGTAGGCTCAACCCACTCTCGATCATACCAGGGCAGTTGAGGGCTATAAATATTGATTCATCTTTGGTTAAATTGAGTTGGCTCACTCGTCTTCTCCATCACACCTCATTGTGTTTTACTTCACTTCTCGGTCAACGATTGTATGAAATGTGCATATTCAAAACTCCATTATTGTATTCGACTTATTTAATTCCGTTGTTCACCAATGCATTTGAGTCGATGAATATATACGAGGATTAGTGATATGTACATTTCAATAACAATCATTCATATGATCTACGTGGAGTCAGATATAGGGCCTCTAAACAAACACAATATAGTGTAATCGCAACACACGTTCTGATAAGTATCATTAAGGCAAAGTATTCAGTCTTTTAATCTCATCGAAACATTTAATGCAAATTAATCAATCTTATTGTCCCAATTGATACCATTGGGTTGCATACAAATTATCGTTAGTACTTCTCAATAACCCATCTCTTCATTGTACTCCATTAAAATACACTCACAAACACAGTAATTCGGAGTGAGAATTTGCCAACAATTGTTTGGCAATATTTTAATTCAATATGCACAACTGTGTACTAAATTTAAATGTGCTCTTATGGTGAGATTAGATTCTATTGAAAACTATTTCACTTATATTAATCGATGCGTTTCAATACAGATCAGATGTGGATAAATATAAACTGAAGTTGGCTCAGAAAAAGACTGCAACTCTTGAAGCGGCTTCAAACTCAGTTCGTATAACAATAGGATTGATTACCACTTTATTAGTGGGTTATTTGTCTGATCGATACGGTCGTCGAGCAGCGTTTGGAATTTTATTAGTCGGTGAGGTCTTGCATGTTGGTTTAACCGGTAAGTAGTATACACCTTTTATAGTACGTTATTATATGCTTTACATCAGAGTGTTTAAATAAAACAAAATCCTACAGAATGTTAGGAACAGCGTCTCTTATTTGGTTTGGTCTGAGGTAATGTGAAAAATCAATATCAATTTTGTCCAATATAGTATACGCATACTGAAATTACCAAGGTGTGAAATCACAGTTGTTTTGCAGTGTAGACAAAGTTTATTTTGAATATTCCTATTGTTAAATCCATTCTGAGTTGTAATAAAGAAAGTTTTTATGTTTTGTACATTAGGTCTATCTGTTAAATTTAAAGAAAGCATAAGCATAAACATGTTCATAGAGTAAAGTGTTCAATATTACATTGTTTTATGTTTATGCAATCACAATATACTCTCCCCTTTCAAGCATATACCTGAAGTTCGTCAAACGAATTATGTTAATTCTTCCTTTTCCTAATAACGAAATTGTTTCTAATTTAAGTCTATTTCTAGGTACTTGGAAATCTTGAAATAAGAACACAGCTGAGGACAACCAAACGTAATTCTGAGCAACATAACATTATATCTTGCCAAAATCTAAGAACCATACAATCGATACTTCTTTTGCTCAGTATGAATCACATGTCTCAGAATTGATTTTCCCTTCGTTTTCACACCAATTCCTCTCCTTTCTAGTTGTCTTCTCTTCGATCTTCTCAAACTTCTGCCACCAGGCATTTCACTTCCTGTTTGTGATGCATACTACTTATATCTGTCGACATCATTAGCACACAATACACTAATGCAAAGCCATGACATAAAATCCACTTCAGACCATACATTTGATACAGCATTGTTACAAAAATTAAAATACACTGAAATTAATTTTGTTTCGAATCAATTGTATTGTTAACAACCTCAATCTACATTCAATTACATTGAAGTAATTCAAGTTTTCAATTACTTATTGATTCAGGTCTTATTGTGTTGTTGAAGCTGAATATGTGGCTGATTTTACTCCCTGGACTTTTGGAAGCAATTTTCGGTGGTGGTCTTTTATCACTCTTTGCTCAGGTTGCCACAATCCAAGTAGACGTTTGTCATCTATCCATGAAGTATTCAACCGAAAAAACAGATAAAAAGAATGTAAAGTCCTTTGATAAACAAATGTGGATATTATTTACGATTTTCGATGGAATAGCTGCCTTATGCGTATCAGCAGGATCACCGATTGGAGGTTAATTGAGAAATAAGTTTTAAAAATTTTATACTGATATTTTAACAAAAGCTTATATATCATTAAATATAAATTAAATTTTAGCAAAACGTCTAAGTATCTTGGCTGCATTATGTCATCTGATCTCAAGAGTTTCATTACGAAGATTTCAATATCATTCTAGACAAAATTATTAACACCTACTTCATGAATATGTGAAAGCAATACAGACATTATTATTTAACTGAATTGTGAATTTTTGACTTCATTTCAATGAGATACATTGTAGACAATGACAATATCTCGGACATTATTTCTAGTGTAATCCATCTTCTGTTCTGAACATTAACTGAACGGATCTCATTTAATTTTATTCCCATACAATAACGAATTTCCTAGTAAAAGCACTTCAAAGTCTTTTCAATTAGATTCACATAAAAAGACGATTCAAGTACTTGACCTTCTGTCTACCAGTTCATATACAGAATTACTAATACTATCTCTAGTGGAAATCATTTTTCATTTGAAATGCATAAATTCAATTATTGCACGTTCAGTTTCGTTCGACTGAAATCGAATATCTTTCAAAGTAACTAAAGTTCATCGGAAATAGTATAAAGTTTATGTGTATGTAATTATGAATTTCAATCACAGGTTACTTGTAATAGTGTTTTTCCATTCCCCTTACTAGGAGCTTTAATCTATCACTATGGATTTCAAGTAGCCATGTTCACATCACTAGGTTTACTTGTTCCAAGCTTAATTTTAATATTCTGTTTACCCGAAACGAATAAAAACAAAAAGAAATCAAGTGTTGTACAGGACGAAGAGCCTTTTGAAAAAGTTAACAACTATGATCCAAATGAAGATACTCGTAGTATACAAATAGAATTCAAAAAGACGTTAAAAAGTAGAGTTACAGATGCATTTCAAGTTAGTCGATTTACTTTTAATTTCTCGGGTATTATGTTTCTTGTCTTTTCTTAGACTATCATTACAATAACATTTCTATGGTGTTTTAAAGATAAAATGTATGGCCATTGAGAAATGGTAACGTCATATATTGCTGATCATATGGGTTAGCACGATATCCATACACAATATTATGAGCATTCCCTCAACGTATTTCATTAGGATATTTCTACACTTGTAAACACATTAGGTATTTTAGTGAATAGTGCTTGCGATATGTTGATGAAAGTGTATTCTCATCAGTGGTTTAAGATTAGTTGAAGTTGAAAACTGAATACACCGTGGTCTGATAGATGGAGAATAATGGAGAGTTTCAAACTAGGCGATAATAGCCAACAGTTCCATCTTCAATTCAACCAAACAACAAACGATACTCACCATCACTCACTAGATGGAACAAGTGACTCTAGTTGAGTTATATCAGAACGTGAATGCAGTTTTCACCTCAAGTGTGGTTGCGTGCATCCACCTGTGTGAAGTCACATACTAGAACGATAGAGTATTCCATTGTCCATTTAGCTCCATTTCCCTTATCTGCTGGTGTCAACGTTCCATGGAAAAATAGTTTAACCAAACTCGATAAAGGCGACAATTGGTAAATAATTTGTCATACTTCACTAATCGGTCCGTGATATACTCGAGGAAGGATCATTTCATATTTACAAGACAACTGCCTGGATAGATGAATCAGTAGATTATCTCGCGGTGTAAGCAGTAGAATGATAATAACTGAAACAGAAATCGCAATCATAATAACCATTGTGATTACTTCTTAAAACTATTTTCAAATATTTCTGTGTCACTCATGTCATATCACGCAAAACTGATTACCATGAGTTGCATAATACATCACAACTTTAGTGACCCTTCATCTTAATCTGTTTATCAATAGATTACTGAATGAACAAAATCATTCGAAGCATGTAAACAGAAACCAGATAAGTTACCATCTACATCATGATCATTTGATAAAGGTCAATAGATTTCAAAAGAAAAGTCATGTCTGTTCTGAACATAAACAACTAGGGACATTTTCATCAGAAATCAAATTAGAATGATGTTCTCACTTATCTGCATATGAACATCATGCAATCAATAATCAATAAATTATGAGATCGAAAAACGTTTCTACTCATTCTATATCATATATACAATATATACTAAACTCACCTGAATCACTAACTAATACATACATTTTTTCAAACAATTTTCTACATTTATAAACTTGAGTGAAGAAGAAACGAATATCCACGCGTAATCATTAATGTGTAGGTCTTTCTGCATGACTGATAGAGATTTAAGCAACAAATTACATGACTCGTCAACGTTTCGTGTCAAACATACACAAGAACAATCCATCTTAACAAGTCCATAATTTGTTTACTTTTCAGCGTCTGAAAAATTTAGATCCTATGGTGATTATGATTCTGTCAATGGTTCTACTTGGTTCAGTGTCAGCTTTGGCGGACTTACAGTATGTTGCTGTTTATTTAATGGGACCTCCATTCTTGTGGAGTCCGGAAACCGTTGGACTATATTCGTAAGTATTTCACTCGAATTCAAATCAGACGATATATTTGGTTTCTGCAATTTTACAACAGTCCCTCTTAAAGCAAACACTTCTCAGTCAAATATGCAAATTATTTAGTCAGTCAATTACTTTTTAGCAGTGAACAATAACCTCAATCTATTCAGTCATGTCGATTGATGCACTTGCATTTGTCTCAAACTTACAAATCGATTTATTTTCACTAAGCATTATTATAACAAAACTGTTTATACTAAAAATGATACACGAATTCGCAACAAGTAGCTAGACAGAAAAAAGAATTGCATGAGATTCCCATTGTTGTGAGAATAAAGTAGGTGTTCTATTCTCTTATGCACACCAAATTGATTTACGCTTGACAAGATTAATGCGACTTATGATGTATCTGGCTCTGTTGACAGACAACGATAATTTAAATGGAATAAGTGTTTGTTTAGCTATGGAACCTTATTCGAAAGCGCTGTGAAACATGGATCGTACATATATGGTTAGAAGTCGAAATCTCATCAATTTGTTATCAATGTACTTCACAAAATTATTGACACTCCTTCTCTTTGGATAATATGTAGTTGAACGTTTGAAATACCATGCGAAAGCATTTGTTACTGTGCATTCTAGAACAAATGTAAGATGTTTTGTTTGGATTCATTGATTTCAATGTTTAGTTAATCACATGAAAATGAAGTCATCTGCAACTCATATGATTAGAGCTAATCAAACATTGAAGCAAATTAGATAACTCTTATTCTATAACCCTGGATTTAGTGCACGAATTTCCAGTTAACTAATACAATGTGCTTCGATGATTCAATAATTCATACTGTTCTGATGCCCCTTTCCACACATGCGTAAAGCATCACAATGTTAATTTCTAAAAAAAATTTTTTGGTATAGTACGAATGATGAAAAACATCTCTGAAATTTTGATCACTTTCTTTCTAATTAATAATACGTCCATTGAACAACGTCTCAGCTCATCAACATGTGCACGATTATGTTCCCTGCATTAGGTCATAGTGGGTATATAAGAACAGCTCGTTCTATACGTTCCTCTAAACGTGATTATTAAGTTTGATCAAATTCCATGCTCTAACCGACTAGTTGAATGTCAAACTATTCAATTACTAGACAACCACTCTCTAGCTTAAGCTTTTACTCTGAAATAGTATGATTGATAATTGTACTAATTTCCAGTTCAACTAAACTTCATTCAGGCTCTCATCAATCCATATGTCACTGTCATATGCTCTGGTGCAATCACACATGTATCAAACGCACCGATAGACCAGATATTTATATGTTAGGCGTACCTGGATTCTTCGGCGAAATGATGGTTTTCATTGGATTGAACCACTAATCGTTCAGTGTCATAAACGAAAACATTACATTATAAGTGAGTGAGTAGCTGAAGCATCAGACTTGTCTCGAAATAATAATTTCATCTTCACATTTCTACTTTTTCATTTCTTGAATACTCTGTAGTGGTGTAACTGATGTGACATCAGCTTTCCTATCAATTATCTGTACTATTCTAATTATCAAATTTGACGAAAAGCGAAAGGCCAGAGCTCTCAAAGAACAAAATACCACAAACAGCAATGAACGAAATCATTATACACGTCAAATGCATTTACTAATTACAGTTTTTGCTGCATCAGTTATAATGTTAATAGTGAATCGTTCAGTAGTCGGAGTAGCTTATCGATTTTCACTACCAACTGCGAATATTTTAATTTATATCGGTAAATGTTTCATGCTTTGAATTTTATCATTAATAAATACATCTATCAATCACTCGAACTCAATTAAACACATGACTTAAATGCTGAAAGCTGTTTTTGTTTTACCAATGAATTGGATATATTTAAAACTAAGTCAGTCATATTAATTTATATATCTACTGTTCTTACATTCCAAACTCAGTCACAAACTAATTCTGTCAGTTGTGTTTGAGAAACATTAAACTGATATGCTATTTATGGATTTAAACGTGAGACTGGGAGTGCAATACTTTTTCACAAATTTCTTGTATAGGTCGTTCATTTGCTTGAAAAAATATAAATACTAAGACGAATTTACAACCATCTTTTAAGTCAACCTGAAAGACTGGTATGAGAATTCGTCCATTATTCGTGATAAATTCATAACTTTGTAAAAACTTGATAGATTACGTTATTTAAGGAGTTCAAAAATACTCGAAACCCATGCTTCATCTATACATTTCTCTCACAGTTTATCTGTTCATACCGATACATGATAATGTATATCCATCTTCACTATAAATTCAGCTGATTAATATAAATTTGGTTAGTCAGAATATTATTTACCAAGTTAACAAAGTCCATATTTCGTTCATCACTCTCATTATAAACAATGGAGTTCATAAGTGACCATATCACCCTTGAATCATATTAGATCTCAAGTATGGTCTCATCAGCATGCACATACAATTCCAAATAAACCATAACACGACACATCGGTTTCAGGTGATTGATAACAGTTGTTAATTGATCTGTTGTTTGTCTAGGTAGCTTTAGAAGAAATATCAGAAAATATATAAAACATTACAGTGTAACAGAATCATCCACCATCATTTCTAGTTTAAATCATGCTCTCGTCTGACTAATGAACGTTACACCAATATAAATATAGACAAATTAATTATCGTAACGATTTCCAGATTTAGCCTAGATAATAAGCATATACAAATTCATGTGAATTGCTCCAAGATGTTTGGATCCTTTATTTAAATTAAAAATATGTCATTTTTGCTAAGATGGTTCTCAAAAATAAGTTGACTGTCATAACAGTTTCTAACAATAGTTATAACAAGGCACAAAATCAACCATTAAGCAACTGTTCCATCCAACGTTTTTGAGCATTACCTATAGTGTACTCACGAAGACAGTCTGCATGAGATGTAGAGATTTCGAACTTTTCGGAGATCAGAATACCACTGATCATCTTGACCAAACTTTAATTATCTTTATGTTCAACTTCGATTATTCAAGCAAAATCTGTTATATGCTCTTCTTCGAACCAATCTGACAATGAATAAGTACAATTGAGTTGCCAATATTTATTTCAGATCATTGGCAATCCAGTTTCATGAGAAGACTATCGTCTCTCTAGTTTGACCAGGTAAGATGTAGAAACTCTCACACAGTAGTCAAATCGAAATTCAATCGATTACAATACTCAACGCGTTGGTGTTTCATGCTCTATACTCAACAAACACAGAACTCTTGATTGCCAATTCTACTGATTTGCTGACACTGATCGAATAACCCAGTCGAATAGACTAATCGATCGGTCTTTTACATGGCTCTGTTGTTAACACTATTTCACAGTCAGTCGAAGTAAATATTTATCATATATTGTCAGTAGACATTACAAAATAGGCCTGACAACATTGTCAATGAATGCGAGTTGAATATTTCTGTTAATCGCAGAGATTTATCTTGGTTAGGCAACTATTGAAACCGATAATCATCACAAGAGGTCTGCTTCGTCCAATTATGGAGGACCTCAACTATGTATATTCTCATCGCTTCTAAATAGGTATGTAAGGTCCTTTATGTGAATGGTCAAGTGTTTAACCTCAAGACCGCTGGATTATCATAATATTATTTTAATGTCCAGATTCAAGTCTGATGGACATCAGTTCTTCACGTAAACTATATTCCTTATAATGTATAAACTGTTATTAAAGTTCAATATTTTTCAAACTTTAGCTTCTATTCCCAGATTGATGAAAAGCTTCCTTGTTCCAATAATTCGAACAATGCTTTCCATTAGTGTTCATGCAAGTATACAAGGTAAATAATTTCTTTCAATTGTTTTAGTTTATTTACATAGTTCAAGTAGAAAGTTAATAATTGGGATTGATTTAAGTGAAGTGAAATTAAACATCAGAAGTTCTTTCACACAGTAAATTTTTACTTATGCAATATGAACCAAATTTGATCATTGATTCCAAACTTAAAATATGAAGACAGACTATGATAGATACTCATAAACAATTGTTCATTATATACAGAAGTTATGAAAGATAACTAGGTGCACAGATATTCTTTCATTAAGCTGTTGAATATAATTTATTATATGATAAAATATAATCGCTTATTTTACATTTCAGGCATTATGCAATCGATTGCCGCATTTGTTTCTCGAATCGGTTTACTCATCAGTTTAACAGCACTTCCTGCAATATATGCTGGAACAGTACTGACATTTCCAGGAACAGTATTCATCGTAGTTGTCATAATAATGGCAGTAACACTCATTATTGACTTGTAAGTAGCTGAAAAATAATGTGAATTTCCCTGTATAAAATAAAAATCGGTGTGAGAAACACATACAATGGATGAGTAAACAATTATTGCTATAATAATATAAACGAACGATATTGAAATATTCCCAAAGTACAAACGTCTGATGTGTAGAACGTACAGGGTATTCTTATCGTTGAACACGAAATAAACCGTTTATTAATGCACATACATTCATTTGGGAAAATCAGTTTTCGTACCATCATTTAAAACTTGAAAATAAAGACAACTAGATTTAAACTCAATGGTTGGATGATACACAATTAATCATATGAGATGAGAAATGACTAACGTGTGGTGGCTTGCTTTCAGTAGCGGATATAAAATAATCTCTAGATGGGACTATTCATGGGTAAACCATCTGACATAAAGCTTCCAAAGAATTAAGATGGAAAAGCATAGGAAGAGAATACTAGAAACTTCATACAGATTGTGAATCCAAGACCGATTAAAATAATTCACGTAAACGAACCCAACAACCAGATAAAACAACCACATCTTTCAGTAGTCCTAGCAGTTAATAAAATAATGTGAAATTTTTGGAAATGGTTCAATCTTGAAACAGAGCAAGGACAACAACGTTTACAGAATTTATATTAGCGATTGTAATTTGATGTTGTATGCGACTGATGAAAAACTGTGGAATAGAATAAACTCATTTTATTCTGTAAACTTTGTTGTTCTTTCTATGTTTAAATTGATCAAAGGATCTGGTTGTATGAAGTTTCCATCTTTATCTACAGATGCTTAAATGTCACATAAAGTTTTTAATGGAAGGAACTTTGTACTACGTAATTAATAAATAATTTGTTTAAAGTTGCAGTAACATTGACAATCTACTCAGACTTGGCAAAACCACTGCTGGTAGTAGCTAAGCTATTCTAAAGAGAAAACATCCAACAGTAAACATAAATTAACTTGTCACTTATAGTTAGACGATGTACACTTTAAGACTAAATGACGTATATATTTGCATTTGACCCACCAAGTCATCTGCTACCACTCATAGACCTACACCAAACACTACGTTTATCAATCACTTAGCTTGCTCTTCACTTGACTGGATTGTGTTCATTAGTAATTAAAAAAAATATAATCTTTGAAGATGGTTCACATAATGGAATGAAATTAGTAAGACACCTATCGGTAACCAGTGATCAATGAACATTTATACTAGTTTGGAACCATTCAACCAAGTGCACCGATTAACTCTTTAGGAACTGGAACCACTGATTCAAACACTAAAAACAAGTGAGTTACTTTTAGATTATACAGTTGATATTCATTAGTTCTCACTTTCAACGTCAGATAACTAGTGACACTAGCCAACTATCATCCATTTCTGTCGAATACACCAATATCTTTCACTCTCAATATAATTAGTCACTAGTAAAATAATGATCATTATTGTAACAGAATGTTTGTAAATATCATTAATAAACTTTTTAAGTGAATTTTCAATAAAAAAAATGAGTATTAATTTTGTAAACGGAATACACCTATTAAGACATTAAATAAGAAAGGTTAGTTCAGTGAAGAGTTCTCTTTTTGGTGAATTCATTTTCAAAGTTGTACAATCGCAAATATATATATACTTATTTTTACAAGATGATAATGATACTGATAATAAACTTTTGCTATACATGATGACAGTAAGGTTAAATAAACAAAGATATTCAAGAAACTTTTTAAAACAAGAAAAGTTTAATAATCGTTTGATTGTTATTGGCTTAAGTATTCATCGAAAGATAAATAGGGAAATTATCATTGATAAAAAGGATGGCTCAGCATGATGAAACGTAATCCGAATGATCATGGAAATAAAAGCAAACCAGTTGGGGGTAGAAGATATAAAGGGAAGATGGAAGGTGAAGCAGATGGCTGCGAAGGAACAAGAGTATGAAAAAGAGAGAAAATTTTAATACATTAAGACCATGGTAGGAGAAGAGGTTGTAACAGTCTCTTTCGCACACATAAGTCTGGCTTTGTCAGATGTATGGCTATTGCTCCGGCAATGCAGCGAAGATGCGATCTGATTGTCTTAGGAAGACTTCTACTTACTTTGTAGATGACTCTGAATGCAGAGTCTGTCTTGAATGAATGACCTGTGTTCACAGGGTGTTCGATTATAGAACTTCTTATTGAGCCATTGCCTCCTCTTTTTAGCCACGCTGGATAATGTTTTTGAATTCTTTTGGATAAGGTACGCATCGAACAACCTATATACCTAGCTCCACAAGAGCAGGTAAATTGGTGAATGCATTTTATTTTATCATTCTGAGCCATCCTTTCCCAATGATAATTTCCCTATTTATCTTTCGATGAATACTTAAGCCAATAACAATCAAACGATTATTAAACTTTCCTTGTTTTAAAAAGTTTCTTGAATATCTTTGTTTATTTAACCTTACTGTCACCATGTATAGCAGAAGTTTATTATCAGTATCATTATCATCTTGTAAAAATAAGTATATATATTTGCGATTGTACAACTTTGAAAATGAATTCACCAAAAAGAGAACTCTTCACTGAACTAATCATTCTTATTAATTTTGTTACATTCTTTTATAAATAGATTATTACCATTCGTGATGAAGAAACAAAATTCCAAACTAAAAGATGCTGAATTAAACAATCTTCATAATGTAAAAGAAGGCGAAGTATGAGAAGTGACAAAATCAGATGATATTGTCAATTATATTGGAGATATGTTTTAATAATTTAATAAATTATCAATAAAATTCACTAATTGTAATTATTTAATTCAAAACGTATATACTAGAATATTACGTCAAGTATTATTTCAAAGAACATTTCATTATACTGAATCATCTATTGAAATTGTATTAAAATTATTTATCTTTCTAGAAATGATGATACGTCTGATGCCATGAATATGATTGATTACGTAAATATATTGAGTTACTTGTCAAATAGTCAGAATTTTTGTTACTTTTCTATGTAGACAATGATATTGATTCTATCATAAGACATTGAATTGTAGTAATCTCAATAAAATAATAATTAAAGGTTTATTCGATGGTAAATAGTTTACATAAATATAACTTTCAATGATATAATTCATTAATAAAATATTCAAAGCCTCTTGTAAATAAGCTTATAAGAACCATAATTCATATTAAAGCCAATGTAATGTAATGTTTTATTTTAAGCAAAAATAGCTTTCTTACATCTTGATTTGACTTTGTCTATTCAAAGATTGAAGTGCTATACAACGTTGTTTTCTCTTCTTATGTTACTTAGCAATTTGTTCCTGTGAAATTATATTTCACTTGAACCTATACTTAGTTTGCCATAAGTCAAGATTTCATAATTGGAGATTTAAACTCGTTGATAAGGTTATTCATAACCTACTTATGCCAGTCAACTGACCCAGTGAAAACGTTTGCGCCTATTCCTAAGTATTTAAATGCTCGTTTGTTGGCAAATATAGGAGAATGTCCTGGACAGATATGAGAATTCCTTTTTCATCAGCGACAGTCAACACAAACACCTAATCCTGTGAAATACTTTAAATATTCAGTCGCCATTATTTAAATGATAGCTTGTATAAAGAACACTAGATGTTCACTAACCAAACATCCATCTTTCATTACGGCCTAGAAAATAAACCTCCGTATCGACACTCGACTGGGATAGTATTTTACCCTGTTCATCTATACGCCTTACAGTTGTGTTTGTCATTGAAAGACGTACTGAGGAAGCGAATCAACTTTGTGCGGGTTGTCTACTCGAATACTACTGTTCAAGTCACAGCTCATGATGAATTGTCATCAGGATTGATAGTACCAATTGGTGCTTGTCGAGGCTCTCCACTTTCAGTATTTTCTCTCAACTTTGCCATAGACATTGTTCTAAGGATAACGCTTCTATCACCGAACTTTCCTGGACTTGATGTTATGTCAGAAGATCCACTGTTGACTTAAAATACGTTGATGATATAGTCCTGTTTGACGGGGACGCTGAGAGAATTCGCAGTCTTCCGAACATCCTGAGCAACAATGAATCCATGTCTGGAATATGCTTCCCTTTGCATATGTAAAGTATATCTTCAGAGCTGGTCTACATCAACGTCCGAAAAAATAACAGCGAATGAAGCAGTTAGGCGTGTGAACCACATCACATATCTGGAAATCCGCGTCATACTTGATGCGTTGATGTCTGAAGAGATCTTGACATGGGATTATAAGCTTGGACTGGCTTTTTCAGTTCACATTACTAGTGAAGTCGGCGAGATGTCTGTCTGGCAACCAAAGGACTGTACTACTGTCCGGAAGTTTACTCTGTTTTTCATTGTCGTTGTGAAAAATCACCGTTAAAAGTAGAGGACGTTTACTAGTACTCGACAGTCGGTAGCTTTGACGGATGTTTAAATCACGGTGTGGACGGTGTTGAAACTACGCATAGGGTACTAGAGAAACGATGGCAAATGGTTTTGTAAGGCAGTGATTACCCATCAATTGATGTGGTTAGGATATGTATTAAGTTTGTCTGACCGCCACACACTTTGACGGACGATGTTTGCTGGTGTAGGATTAGTTACGATATCTAACGAAAACATAGAGTTCGTTCATGAATTCACTATCAGACCAGTATGAATTTTTGAACCGTTGAAGCACATTATATCAGTTAACTGGACAGTTTTGCAATAAATTCAGTGTGGAATAGCTCAGGCCTATAAAATAATAGTTATCTAATTTTTTTTTATTGTTTGATTAATTCTAATCATGAGAGTTGCAGATGACTTCATTTTCATGTGATTAACTAAACATTGAAATCAATGAATCCAAACAAAACATCTTACATTTGTTCTAGAATGCACAGTAACAAATGCTTTCGCATGGTATTTCAAACGTTCAACTACATATTATCCAAAGAGAAGGAGTGTCAATAATTTTGTGAAGTACATTGATAACAAATTGATGAGATTTCGACTTCTAACCATATATGTACGATCCATGTTTCACAGACATCACATAAATCAGTATTGATTACTCCCTCGAAATGTGAATTTTCAAGTTTAAATAGATGCTTACTGTTCATGCAAGTGCTCTTGTGTTAAGTTACACACATGTTTCGTTGGACGCTGTGTAATTTGAAGCGCTTTCGAATAAGGTGCCAAAGCTAAACAAACACTTAATCCATTTAAATTATCGTTGTCTGTCAACAGTGTCATATACATCATAAGTCGCGTTAATCTTGTCAAGCGTAAATCAATTTGGTGTGCATAAGAGAATAGAACACCTACTTTATTCTCACAACAATGGGAATCTCATGCAATTCTTTTTTCTGTCTAGCTACTTGTTGCGAATTCGTGTATCATTTTTAGTATAAACAGTTTTGTTATAATAATGCTTAGTGAAAATAAATCGATTTGTAAGTTTGAGACAAATGCAAGTGCATCAATCGACATGACTGAATAGATTGAGGTTATTGTTCACTGCTAAAAAGTAATTGACTGACTAAATAATTTGCATATTTGACTGAGAAGTGTTTGCTTTAAGAGGGACTGTTGTAAAATTGCAGAAACCAAATATATCGTCTGATTTGAATTCCAGTGAAATACTTACGAATATAGTCCAACGGTTTCCGGACTCCACAAGAATGGAGGTCCCATTAAATAAACAGCAACATACTGTAAGTCCGCCAAAGCTGACACTGAACCAAGTAGAACCATTGACAGAATCATAATCACCATAGGATCTAAATTTTTCAGACGCTGAAAAGTAAACAAATTATGGACTTGTTAAGATGGATTGTTCTTGTGTATGTTTGACACGAAACGTTGACGAGTCATGTAATTTGTTGCTTAAATCTCTATCAGTCATGCAGAAAGACCTACACATTAATGATTACGCGTGGATATTCGTTTCTTCTTCACTCAAGTTTATAAATGTAGAAAATTGTTTGAAAAAATGTATGTATTAGTTAGTGATTCAGGTGAGTTTAGTATATATTGTATATATGATATAGAATGAGTAGAAACGTTTTTCGATCTCATAAGTAATTGATTATTGATTGCATGATGTTCATATGCAGATAAGTGCGAACATCATTCGAAATTGATTTCTGATGAAAATGTCACTAGTTGTTTATGTTCAGAACAGACATGACTTTTCTTTTGAAATCTATTGACCTTTATCAAATGATCATGATGTAGATGGTAACTTATCTGGTTTCTGTTTACATGCTTCGAATGATTTTGTTCATTCAGTAATCTATTGATAAACAGATTAAGATGAAGGGTCACTAAAGTTGTGATGTATTATGCAACTCATGGTAATCAGTTTTGCGTGATATGACATGAGTGACACAGAAATATTTGAAAATAGTTTTAAGAAGTAATCACAATGGTTATTATGATTGCGATTTCTGTTTCAGTTATTATCATTCTACGGCTTACACCGCGAGATAATCTACTGATTCATCTATCCAGGCAGTTGTCTTGTAAATATGAAATGATCCTTCCTCGAGTATATCACGGACCGATTAGTGAAGTATGACAAATTATTTACCAATTGTCGCCTTTATCGAGTTTGGTTAAACTATTTTTCCATGGAACGTTGACACCAACAGATAAGGGAAATGGAGCTAAATGGACATTGGAATACTCTATCGTTCTAGTATGTGACTTCACACAGGTGGATGCACGCAACCACACTTGAGGTGAAAACATGTGGCTTCAATTTTGGGTTTGTTTGCTATGTTTTCAATGCATTGAGTTTGATTCGAATAAGTCACATTTTCTACTGCATTCACGTTCTGATATAACTCAACTAGAGTCACTTGTTCCATCTAGTGAGTATCGTTTGTTGTTTGCTTGAATTGAAGACGGAACTGTTGGCTATTATCGCCTAGTTTGAAACTCTCCATTATTCTCCATCTATCAGACCACGGTGTATTCAGTTTTCAACTTCAACTAATCTTAAACCACTGATGAGAATTCACTTTCATCGACATATCGCAAACACTATTCAATAAAATACCTAATGTGTTCACAAGTGTAGAAATATCCTAATGAAATACGTTGAGGGAATGCTCATAATATTGTGTATGGATATCTTGCTAACCCATATGATCAGCAATATATGACGTTACCATTTCTCAATGGCCATACATTTTATCTTTAAAACACCATAGAAATGTTATTGTAATGATAGTCTAAGAAAAGACAAGAAACATAATAGCCGAGAAAATAAAAGTAAATCGACTAACTTGAAATGCATCTGTAACTCTACTTTTTAACGTCTTTTTGAATTCTATTTGTATACTACGAGTATCTTCATTTGGATCATAGTTGTTAACTTTTTCAAAAGGCTCTTCGTCCTGTACAACACTTGGTTTCCTTTTGTTTTTATGCGTCTCGGGTTAACAGAATAGTAATAGCAAAGCGATTTCTTGAATTCGATGTAATTGTATCTCTACACTGATATATATGTATATATATAAAACGTACTCATTAATTATTGACTTGCTCGTTAATATTACAAATTCAAGAGTTTATAAAAGCAATTGTAGATACTTTACTGATTTGGAGTTCGTAGATGACCTGGCCTTTCTATTCCATACACAGCAACAAATAGAAATGCAGACAACTGTCTGTCAATCAACACAAAATTAAGAATTTTCAACACGAACATGAAGACAGTTCTACTGTACAAAACTGGAACGTGGAGAAATACCATAACCATCATCAAATCCATACAAGTGTTTATAAACAGTTTTCTAGGCAAGATACTCAATATCTGTTGGCCGGATACCATATGCAACGTCCTACTGTGAGGGAGATCAAAACAGCTTCCATCTGACGGGGAACTTAGGAAAAGACATTGGAAGTGGGTAGGACATACATAAGAGGCAAGCCAGTACTTGGAATCCTGAAGGGAAGCGGAAAAGAGGAAGACCGAAGAACATGATGCGTCGAGAATTGGAAGCAAACATGAAAAAGATCAATAGCAACTGGAAAAAAGTGGAGAATGCTGGCGAGCGACCTATGCTCCTCCATGAGGAGTAAGAAGTGTAAGTAAGCAAGTTTTAAATTCACATTTTCACCTTCGTTTTCTTTATAGTCAGCAAAGTCACTCCACATATGAAGAATAACATTTTGTATACATTTTCATCTCAATGCAAAATCCGTTTAAAAACAGCATCTTCCAGTGAAGAATTATTTATGATTGATTGTAATCCAGCCTAAAAGTTATATACTACTTACCAGCTACACTAACATGCAAGACCTCACCGACTAATAAAATTCCAAACGCTGCTCGACGACCGTATCGATCAGACAAATAACCCACTAATAAAGTGGTAATCAATCCAATTGTTATACGAACTGAGTTTGAAGCCGCTTCAAGAGTTGCAGTTTTTTTCTGAGCCAACTTCAGTTTATATTTATCCACATCTGATCTGTATTGAAACGCATCGATTAATATAAGTGAAATAGTTTTCAATAGAATCTAATCTCACCATAAGAGCACATTTAAATTTAATACACAGTTGTGCTGATTGAATTACAATATTAACAAACAATCGTTGGCAAATTTTCACTCCGAATTACTGTGTTTGTAAGTGTATTTTAATGGAGTACAATGAAGAGATGGGTTATTGAGAAGTACTAACGATAATTTGTATGCAACCCAATGGTATCAATTGGGACAATAAGATTGATTAATTTGCATTAAATGTTTCGATGAGATTAAAAGACTGAATACTTTGCCTTAATGATACTTATCAGAACGTGTGTTGCGATTACACTATATTGTGTTTGTTTAGAGGCCCTATATCTGACTCCACGTAGATCATATGAATGATTGTTATTGAAATGTACATATCACAAATCCTCGTATATATTCATCGACTCAAATGCATTGGTGAACAACGCAATTAAATAAGTCGAATACAATAATGCAGTTTTGAATATGCACATTTCATACAATCGTTGACCGAGAAGTGAAGTAAAACACAATGAGTTGGAAAAGGCGAGTGATCCGACTCGATTTAATCAAGCGGGAACCCACCACAAGTAAACTGTTGCGTGAGTTTGTTAGAATTTGACTATTGAAATTGTTCTGGTAGTTTTCATATATTCACTTTAATAGACTTTCCTATTTCATGTGCTTGATTAAACTACATAAAAATATGTTGTTTTTTACAAATGTGTTCCATAATAGTTCACTGTGTATTCTTTATATTTTGATTAGCAGCTGATGAAGATGAATGTTTGTAAACACAATCTTAATTGACTATGCAAAATGAAATTGAAAACATTGAATAGTAAATCAAATCAAATAGCCAATCATTTATTCACGTGTGATGTGCGTGATCACGTTACATACTCTGAGATATTGACAACATGTTTTATGAATAAACTGAATGAACTCTATTTAGTAGGTCATTTTAACTATGTAGTTACAATCTTATTGAGTAGAACCTGGGTATAAGTGGAAAATTAGTTTCTGACATATTTGGTGGTGAGAAGAGAGGAATAGAAATGAAGAAATGACAAATTATGAAAACCACCTTTTGGGATATTAGTTTCGCCATTTCATAATCTGTAAATAATTACGTTTAATTGATGTGATTGCCTCATTCTGTTAATCAGTAGATTTTGTCTAATCTCTGAATTATAATTATAACATTTTGCATTTGAAATTAATTATGATTCAAATTGGAGAAAGTATTCTGTTTGATAGTTTAAGTGGCCTAGGATGTTTATTATTAATTGTGCAAATATATACAATTTCGTTGGACTCGTTCAGTCTATCACTAATTGTTTACACAATTTATACATGTGTTTACATTTTTCGGTGAACTATCAATTTAATTACTGTTGTTATTAATGATAATATTATTATTTTTATACACATCGTTATTGTTGTTAAACTTTTTATATACATTAAAATCTCTTTAATACAAGAGAAACATTTTGTTCTTGAATATGTATATACGTATGAATTTTTAAATAACACTTGTTTAACCTTTTCGTTGTGTAATTTTCTCCTCCCTCCAAGCCATTTAGAGTTTTATGTCGGGCATACTTCCACCGACGCATGCCCTAGGGGATGGAGTTATATGGTGACATATATTCAGTGATTTTTGTAACAACAAAAATAAAAACCACATTTTTTTCTCTAATTTGTCACACTTTATTTGTAACCACATTTTTATTCAATATCTGTTGTTTTACTGTATCACTTATTAAAAAGACGATGATAATTGTTTCGATGAATGATATACGATTCTACTACCGCGTTGTTTAAAATATAGAACACTATCTACGCCGTTTGTTCTTCTGTTTTATTGGCCACCGTTTTGATTGAAGACTATAATAGTATTATAACATCATTATAGGCCTTCCAACTCAACGTTAGACTTTTGGCGCGGATTACTATTGTATAATACTATTGGACTCCATCTTCCTCATTACGTCATTGGTGCAGTCACTTGCAGAGGAACACCTGTCAATCAAGTGAACTCAGTTTGTGGTCGTTGTTCTCACGAGGAAGTTCACAAGTAACATTCATTCTATAGTAACTGTTAGTGTCTGTTTGTTTAATATACCTTTTGTATTGCTAACGGTATTTTGTTACCTTTGGTTTTACTAACGGACAGACATCTAGGTTTCTTTACTATTAATTTTTTTGGTATATCATTATTAACCTAGTGTACCAATATATTTTGTATAAGCTCCTTTTGTTTGGGAACCACCACAAGTCAAATTTTGGACAGTTGGATATTAGTTCAAGTGGTTATGACTTTTAAAACCACCTTGAGCGGTTCGAAATCTGATGCATGTCCAGAAAAGATTTGAGGACGATAAATTCACAGCTTATTTCCTGACGCTCATCGGAAAGAATCTTACAACCTGATGAAACCTCTGGCTTTTCCAGAAGAGACAACCTCATTTTCATATGAATCTCTCATAGGATTACTACCTATTTGTGTGAGGTATGCCAGCTTTGAATTCAGAGAGAAAGTTAAGGATTGTACACTTGAATCAGAGAGACAAGCCACGAAGTGCAATCTCGGCAACCGATTGATAACTTAACTTCGTGTTCGTTTGACTGCTGGGATAAATGTTCCAAATTTAGAAAGTGGATTCATTCTGAAATCTAAAAGTTAACTTCAAGAATTCAAAACAACATGTATAAATTATGAGGCAGTGGATGAGCTTGGTTTTCAGTCAGTGAAAATTTCCAGTACCTTGCGCAGTCGTGGTGATGGACTACACACTCAGGGTCACTCAAGCTCATTTTTGTTTAATGATGGTTCTTATTTTCGTGAAAAATGAAAAGTTATTCAACAAAGAATTGCAAAGCAGGTTACAGAGGTTTGCACAGGTTCGGAAAATGTTTATTCTGTGGTACATTTCACTTATGTAATGTGTGTCTTTCTTCATGACAGATGAATTGTGTATGGTAAAATAGGACACATCAAGTTTGCTTGTAAAGCCTCTGTGAGCTAGGCGACAAGTCGCCGTCTCAATTATTACGCCACATGAGACAATTGCCTGGCCCTTATAAATTTGATGATGCTTTCCTCAAGGAGATTTGGCTACAACGTTTGCCAACAGTAGTTAAGCAAATTCTTTGAGCTTCTAGCCAACCATCAGATTTAGAAAGTCTTGCTAGCATGGCCGATAAAATTTTAGAAGTTACATACTGTACTATACCTTACGTACAGACAATATTAGAAACCTCGAACGATAAGCAAACTCCCACCATAGCATCGTTAACTGCTGAGTTAGGCGAACTACGAGCACATCATGAACGAAATGTCGCCAGTCTTGAAAATAAACAGGATGTATTACAATTATTAATCTCCACTTTCACATCTGCAAGATCTCGAGATAACTCAAAAGGAAATAAAGACGACTACAACATATGTTGGTACCATAAAAAATATGGTGACAAAGCTAGGAAATGTGTTACGTCTTGTGAATTTTTCAAGTCATTTTCTTCATCAAAACGTGTCAACTAAACCATGGTAGCGACAAATGTTTCTGACCATGCGCCTGCTTGCCTTTTCCATGTTCTTGATAAAACTTCAGGATACAAATTCTTAGTAGATACTGGAGCTGAAGTCAGTGTCATCCCAGTTAGCTTAGCCAATAAACCTATTGCTAAGAGTGGAAAATATACTCTAAGGGCAGCTAATTAAACCGAAATAAAGACATTTAGCGAACAATTTCTAACATTAGACTTGGGAATCAGACGTCATTTAACCTGGGTGTTCATTATTGCGGATATCCGACACCCTATATTAGGTGCAGATTTTCTAAGCTTCTACAACTTACTAGTTGACGTTAAGAGAAGAAAACTTATCGATTCCTGCATGAAGCTTCAAGTCCTGAGAATTCAGTCGGACTACCACATACATAGTATTAAAATTGACACTCCAGGAAACGATAAATTCGCCACTACTTTATCTAAATTCCCCAAAATAACGAAACCGGACTACAGCGAAACCATGATCCAACATTCTGTAGTACACCGTATCATCACAAAAGGCCAGCCCACTTCTGCACGTCCACGCCGATTACCACCGGGCAAACTGAATGTTGCAAAGGCTGAGTTTGATCACATGATGCGACTAGGTATAATACGTATCTTTGGAGCTGAGAGTTTTTAGGTCACTTGATCGACAAACGTGGAATAAAACTTGTGGATACAAAAATAGAAGCCATCAAGAATTTTCCAGAACCAGACTCATGGAATAAACTTCAACGTTTCCTGGGGATGATCAATTTTTGTTCGTCGCTTTAATCCACATTGCTCAGCCATCCTACAACTTTTAACTGAGGTGTTGAAAGGTAAAGTCAAAAAGTTCACATTACCCTCCCAAGCGAAAGATGCCTTTTCTGCAGCTAAAACAGCAATCGCTTCTACTACCATGCTGACCTACTTAAGCCCCGACCTGGAAGCAACACTAATCATCTGTACAGATGCATCATAGGCAGCAGTAGGTGCAGTACTACAACAGCGAGTGAATAATGAGATCAAACTGCTTGCCTTCTTTTCAAAGAAGCTAGAACCAACCTATACTCGATATAGCACTTTCGGTAGAGAACTATTGGCTATTTATCTAGCTGTTAAACATTTTAACCATTTACTGCAAGGCAGGGACTTTGTGATACTCACTGATCACAAACCTTTAACCTATGCCTTTAACGCGAAGAGTGACTGTTATTCCCCTAGAGAAATGCGACAATTGGATTATATTTCCCAATTTTCGACCAACATATAGTTTATAAAGGGTGAGTCAAATGTTGTTGCGGATACTTTGTCACGTTTCAATGTTGATGTAATTTATTTCACCAAAGGAATCGATTTATTAGACATGGAACGTTTGCAGACAGATGATCCTGACCTTGATGCTTGTAAACAAAGTTCGAGCTTGTCCTTAAAAAGTGTTCCTATACCGCATTCTGACTCTACTATCGTTTGTGATACTTCTACTGGAACGCACAGACCTTTTGTGCCAATAGTGTACAGAAAAAGAGTTTTTGATTGTCTTCACTCACTATCCCATCCAGGGATTCGTGCTACCGTGAAACTGATTGCCGAAAGATTTGTTTGCCCAAAGATGAAGGCAAATATAAAAAAGTGGACCAGGACTTGTGTAGAATGTCAGCGCCGTAAAATACATGGACATACGATTACAACACCGTCAGCATTTAGTCTACCCGACCATCGTTTTCAAAATGTTCATGTTGATTTAGTTAGTCCTCTGCCTCCATCTAACGGATTCACTTACATTTTTACTGCAGTGAACCGTTTTACTAGATGCAGAAAATGTTGCTGCTGTATTCCTCGACAGATGGATCGCTAATTTTGGTGTACCTTCTACAGTTACTTCTGACAGAGGTTCACAGTTCCAATCTCACCTGTTCAATGAATTCACCCGCATTTCAAGAATTCATCACATCACTACAACAGCATACCATCAAGCAGCGAATGGATTAGTGGAACGATTCCACAGACAACTGAAAAGCTCACTTATGTTACAACCTGACGTTTCTAGATGGAGTGAATCTCTACCTCTTATTTTACTAAGCATACGTTCCACAATTAAAGAAGACCTACGATGTACACCGGCACAGCTCCTCTATGTAACTAATTTAACCTTACCGGGTCAGCTAGTGACGCATAATGGCAAACCCGTATGTACAGATCCCACTTCTATTTGCGAAAGACTAATGAGCCATATGAATAATATTAAGCCTGTTGCACCTTGGCTAGCAGTCTTAAAAGAGCAAGTTGGCAAGCATCAAGATACGTGTAAATTTGTATTTGTTCGTGTTGACTCCGTAAGACGTCCTCTATAACATCATTATGAAGGACCGTATGAAGTAGTTGAGAGGCAAACAAAATATTTCACAATCAATAAGAACGGAAAAAAAGAAACAGTTTCACTCGACAGGATAAAACCTGCTTTCGTAGAGTCCGAAACACATGACAGCCGAAAGCCGACGCATGCCCTAGGGGATGGAGTTATATGGTGACATATATTCAGTGATTTTTGTAACAACAAAAATAAAAACCACATTTTTTTCTCTAATTTGTCACACTTTATTTGTAACCACATTTTTATTCAATATCTGTTGTTTTACTGTATCACTTATTAAAAAGACGATGATAATTGTTTCGATGAATGATATACGATTCTACTACCGCGTTGTTTAAAATATAGAACACTATCTACGCCGTTTGTTCTTCTGTTTTATTGGCCACCGTTTTGATTGAAGACTATAATAGTATTATAACATCATTATAGGCCTTCCAACTCAACGTTAGACTTTTGGCGCGGATTACTATTGTATAATACTATTGGACTCCATCTTCCTCATTACGTCATTGGTGCAGTCACTTGCAGAGGAACACCTGTCAATCAAGTGAACTCAGTTTGTGGTCGTTGTTCTCACGAGGAAGTTCACAAGTAACATTCATTCTATAGTAACTGTTAGTGTCTGTTTGTTTAATATACCTTTTGTATTGCTAACGGTATTTTGTTACCTTTGGTTTTACTAACGGACAGACATCTAGGTTTCTTTACTATTAATTTTTTTGGTATATCATTATTAACCTAGTGTACCAATATATTTTGTATAAGCTCCTTTTGTTTGGGAACCACCACAAGTCAAATTTTGGACAGTTGGATATTAGTTCAAGTGGTTATGACTTTTAAAACCACCTTGAGCGGTTCGAAATCTGATGCATGTCCAGAAAAGATTTGAGGACGATAAATTCACAGC